CAACTTTGATTGGGATGAGGTTCGAACCTAAGACATTTTTTATTGAAATCAATGAGTAAGTTAACGGTGAACTAACAGAAATTAACGGAAAAGATAATATTTAACGGAAAAGTTAACAGATAATCATATTCATTAAGGATAAATTAGGAAATCCTAAGGAAAAATTAAAATCTGATCAATCTGAGCCATTCATTTGATTAAAAAATTAGACCGCCATTTTTTCTACCCATTATAAGCCTAACTCTCTTGGGCTCTTATTAGTATAGTAGATATTATATTATACTAGTAATTTTTATGCGCGATGCGAAAAAAATAGGTGCCCAATATTAATACATTATATTAAAATTTTATTTAGATTTTAGATATTTAAATTATTCTAAATAATAATAATAATATTAATGTAAATCATTTTTATAAATTTGATATTTATATTTATGTAATAATTAACATATAACTCAAATATTTAATGTGTATATATTATTATTAATGAAGAAGATAAGAAAATATATGGTGGATACATGTGCATGGTAACAATAGTGGAAAAGATAACGGAAGTTATAAAGGTAGGGGGTAGGAGTATGTTTGTCCAAAATATTTTAATGTACAACCTTTATAGCATAATGTACAAAAAAAAAAAAAAACTTAACGAAATAAACGGACATAAATAAGGGGTATAACTTTCATTCACATTTATTATGTTTTTATTTTATTAGATTTAGATTATATAGATGTAGATAGAAAAGATGTATAAGGAAAAAAGGTTATGAGTTTCCTAAAAGGAAGTTTCACATTCATAAAAGGGATTTCTATTTTTAAAAGGGAAATTCTATTTGCACCACCCATTTTACTATTTACAACCCCTATTTAATAGGTGTAATAGCTTTATAAGTGGTGCAAATAAAAAAGTGCTATTTGCACCACCTCATTAAATGTAGTCAAACATCAATCTTTATTTTTTTTATTTTTATTTAATAATCAATCTATTATTATTATTATTATTATTATTATTATTATTATTATTATTATTATTATTATGTTTTAATGCCTAATTATTTTGTGCAATATTTTTTTAAGTTTTTATTTTCAATACATATTTTTTTTAAGTTTCTTTTTTCAATACATCTTTTTTTGTTCAATACATGTTTTTTTAAGTTTATATTTTCAATACTTATTTTTGTTTATGTTTTAATTTTAAATAAAGAGAAATAATAATTAATTTTGTTATTCTAATGTTTTTTATAACTCAAATTTGTTGTATACATTATTTTAAATTGATTTAACTATAAATTGAAATATAAAATGATTACTAGTGATATTTGAAATGAATAAATATAAATTGATTTTCTACCTATCTTTTTATACTGTAAAATACCGTAACAATTTTATAAAGATATATGTGGGTTATAGTTCTATCAATTTTGATGTAGTTAAAATTCTATAAAGATATGTGGGTTAGCTAGAGTTCTATTGAGACTTTGAAATATAAATTGATTTTCTACTTATCTTTTTATACTGTATTCTGTAACAATTTATAAAGATATGTGGATTAGAGTTCTAACAATTTTGAGGTAGTTAAAATTCTAATCATAAAATAAGTGGAGGTCAAGGCTTCTAATCATAAAATAAGTCTACTGCATGCCTTCCTACACTCTTTCTATTTTGAATTTTGTATTTATGGTTGTCCTTCCGTCTCTGTAGAATAGTTTCCTACAATTGTGTATTCTTTGTAGTATATATTGCTCTATGCACTCAATATTACTCAATAAATTGATTTTTTTTACCTATCTTTTTATACGGTAAACACAATAAATTGATTAATTTACAACTATATTCACAACAAATTAAATTAATTCAGTATATAGATAGACTCACCAGTCACCCAATAAATAAAATCCCAAATTCATTACTCTTTATACTATAATTTTCTCTCTTGAAATGGATCAAAGAGATTGTTATTTAGTCAATTGAAAAATTATATCTAATTTAAATGAATCCTAATTACCTAGCAAGCAAGAACAAAGTGGCTTAAAATACAAATAGCAACACCCATAGAAATAAATAACAATTCATTAACAATTCAATTCTACCTATTTGTTTATACTGTAAATACAATAAATTGCTTAATTTACAACTATATTCACAACAAATTAAATTAATTTACAACTATATTCACTAAATTGATTAATACTATAATTTTCTCTCTTGACATGAACAAAGAGATTGTTATTTAGTCAATTGAGAAATTTTCTCTAATTTAAATGAATCCTAATTACCTAGCAAGCAAGAACAAACTGGCTTAAAATACAAATAGCAACACCCATAGAAATAAATAACAATTCATTAACAATTCAAATTCAAATAACAACTTAAAATACCTCATAATGTCCTTGACTTTGATTTTGATCATTGTAACTAAGTAACTGGCTTTGATTCTGATTATTGTAACTAAAAAAATCTTCTATCCAATCATCCATGGCTTATAGATTGTGTGATACATATACATAACACACACCCCACATATATATAGAGTCAAATGAGTCCAATTTGTATTCTCTGCCGCTCAAATTATCAGTAATTTCATCTCACAAACATCAATATTGACTAATTGTTTAAAAAAATATGTATTGAAATTATAAACTTAAAAATATGTATTAAAATTAGTAATTTAAAAAAAAATATGTATTGAACAATAAATATATATATATATATATATATATATATATATATATATATATATATATATATTGAACAAAAAAAAAAGATGTATTGAAAATAGAAACTTAAAAAAAATATTTATTGAAACTTAAAAAAATATTGCATAAATAATTAGGCATTAAAACAAACAAAAACAAAAAAAAAATAAAAAAAAAATAAAAAACAAAAACAAAAAACAAAAGCAAAACAGTGACTGGGTTCATCTTTTTTTTTTTTAAATTAATGTTTTAATTAATTAGGTTTTGAATTAAAATATTATAAATTATACCTCATAAATGAGGTTTGGTCAAGGTGGTGCAAATAGCAAAATAAATCTTTATTTAGCTATTTACACTACCTATGCAATTATTAAAAGTTTTCACCTTTTTACAATTTCAAGATATTTATATCCACTTTTGGTCAAAGGGTGGTGCAAATAGCAACACCCTTTTAAAAAGGTTTCACATTCCTAAAGGGATTTCTATTCCTAAAAGAAGTTTCTCATTCCTCGAAAGAGAGTTTCTTATCACATCTATAAATACTAAAAAGCTCTAGGATCAATTAAGGTTTCGAGTCTTCATATCATATCATAGAGGTGAAGCATTCTTGAGGAACGAGTAAGTTTTATCTTTATTTATGTTTAATTAAAAATTCATAATCATGAGTATTGTTTAGTTGTACTTAGAACAGAGGATTAGTTGCATTCTATACAGTAGGCATGGTTACAGGCTTGGCGATGCCTAAAGTTTTGCCTTCAACTTAGGGTGTGTTTGGAAACCTGGAAAATGAGTTCTGGAAATCATTTTCCAAGTTTCCAGTGTTTGGATGTGCCTGGAAAATCAAGTCAACGGAAATCATTTTCCGTTGACTTTGGAAAATAGGCTTGTTTTGGAGGAAAATGACTTCCCCTTTTTTTTAGGGGAAGTCATTTTCCAACTTTTACACCAACATCACACCACCACCAACATCATCAACACCATACCACCATCACCACCACTATTGCCGCCGCCACCACCACTATACCCCCGCCACCATCACACCACCACCACAACCACCACCAACACCGCAACCACTACCACCACCACCACCACCACCATACCACCGCCACCATCGTCGCCGCCACCACTACCACCATACCACCGCCGCCGCCATCACCACCATACCACCGCAACCACCGCCACCACCGCCACCATACCACCGCAACCACCGTCGCCGCCACCACCACCATACCACTACAACCACTGTCGCCGCTACCACCGCCACCACCACCACACCACCGCCATCACACCGCCACCGCCGTCGCCGCCACCACCACCACCACCACCATACCACCGCCGCCACCACCACCACCATACCACCGCAACCATCGTCGCCGCCACCACCACCACCACCATCGCAACCACACGACCACTGCCACCACCGTCATACTACCACCACCATCACACCAACACCACTACCGCCGTCGCCGCCACCACCAGCATACTACCGCAACCACCGTCGTCGCTGCCACCACCATACCACCGCCACCACCATCACACCGTCGCCGCGCCACCTCCACCACCATAATATTTTTGATATGTTATTAGTTTTTTTTTTTTTTTGAAAAACTTAGCTATTTTTTATTATATTTAAAATTAATATTATATTATTATATATTATTATACATGTTGTAATATTTTAAATAAAATAATTAAAATGTTTAATTATACAATTCTACTCATTTTCCAGAAAATGAACCAAACACAGAAAAACAGTTTTCCATAATGCAACCAAACACGGGAAAGGAAAATGTTTTCCGGAAAATGACTCATTTTCCAGAAAACATTTTCCAGAAGTCATTTTCCTGCTTTCCAAACAGACCCTTAGTACATTTTTTGCTCGCTAATTTTTTAGACACAAGCTTGACCGTGGATGTGCCCATGGTCGTGCCTATCACCCCTAGATCGATTTAAACACTTTTGACTTTGTTTTGCGGATAACTTTTCGCCCTTTTACTCCACTTCAGTTTCCGACTTGATCTTAGCACGAGTTTAACCTATATTACTGTAGATTTTTTGTTTCTCTTTAATTTCAAGACAAAGAACGTTGTAATTTTAAATTTGCAAGCATCGATATATATGTTTTTTTCTATCTCCCTCATTTATTTTGCATTAATGGTTTCATCTACCTTTCTTATATTGTGTATTTATTGTGTTAGTATGAGTAATTAAATATCTAGGGCTTAGCTTGGATTTGGTTTGGTTTATTGTTTTTGATGTCTGTTTAATTTACATTGCATTAAGAGAATTAGTTTGGGTGTTAGGGTTTGTTGGGTGAATTGGATAGGTTTGGTTTATTGCTTTGAATTCCTATTTAATTTAATTAAGATTTGTATTGATATTGTATATAATTGTTGGATTTCGATTATATGTATGAATTTGGACTCTCAGCCAATATAATTTATAGCTGAAAAGTTTCAGGAAGCTAAGGGAAAAGAAGAAATTTATATAGATATTATCATGTATGTGACAAGGCCTCTATCTCACTACCAGAAATCTCCTGAGTCTCTGAAAGTGCCACCTGAGGGTCCAAATTCAGGTTTCTTAGTCCTTCAAGATGTGGAAATTAAAAGGTACACCTGCTTTGGACTCTGCAAATGTATTTATCTTGAAGACTTGCCTTTCCCTCAGAACAAGAAGCTTGAGCTTTTCAATGTCGAAGATGGTTGTTATCCTATTTTACTCATTCCTGTTCTTGGTCAGCCACTGTCTTCAAATCGTTACTATGCAATAAAGCCCGATGGTTATGAGAAAGGGTATGTTTGTGTTGCTTGTAGCATTGATCATTTCTCTGTGTTTCTGGTTTGGCATATAAATTGTCGTTAATCCTTAGCATTGAAGCTAACGAATCTGGAGACGTATTTTTCATTAATGAATAATTGTTCCTTGCAGTGAAGCATTTACTTGTTCAAGAGTCTCAGACATGGTCATTTGCTGTTTCCTTAGATGGGTTAGGGATGTTAGACCAAAACCATTGGATCCGCACAACATCTATCAGCAGTTTGAGATTTCTCCTCGCGGTGGCAAAGGTAGCTTTGATGTCAACTCCGTGGCACCTGATGGTGTCCCTCCTTACTTTTTGATGGCGCAAGGTTGGAACATTTTGGACAAAACCTCCGAAAGCTACAGATTAGGAAAAGCTTCGGGCCTCAATGTTTCCTTGCGCAAGCGCCTACCCGAGTTAAACTTCCCTCCATCAAGTACAAGCTCTGAAGCTGTTGTTGTAGGGAAGTGGTACTGTCCTTTCGTGTTCATCAAGGACGAAACGATTAAGGATCAGATGGAAAGATCAGTGTTCTACGAGATGACACTCGAACAGAGATGGGAGCAAATCTTCACTTGCCAGAATAATGACAGAAATGAAGGAATTAGCACTATACTAGTGGGTACTGTTCTTGACAGGGAAGAAGTACTTATTTCTGGGAGCAAAGCAAAATGGGACGAAAGAAATATTGAGAACGGGGTGATATGGTTTAAACCGTTCAACGCAGAAACAGAAGAAACAAGTGTGGGGTTGAGGCAAGAAATTGTTGAACAGATGAAATGGGAGCAAGAAAGAGGAGGATGGTCAGGTGGGGAGAAGGAATTGAAGGTGAAAAGAAGAGAAGAGTGTGGACAGTTAGGTGGGTGGAGAGAATTTGGTTGCTATATATTGGTGGAGAGGTTTGTGTTGAAAAGAATGGATGGAAGTTTGGTCATGACATACAGTTTCAGGCACGGTGATAAGATTAAGAGCATATGGGTGTGACACTAAGCTTATACCGCCCATTTTCATATTAAAAGTTGAGTATATAATATTAGTCCATTTACTAGTATTTTCGCCCGTGCGGTGCACGGAATGAATTTTTTGTGATATATTAAGAATATTTGGATTGATATATAATTATTTAAATAAGAACATCAAATATTATATAGTGCAATTGAATATGTGGTTTGGATAATTTATGTGTTTTGACGTAATCATTGTTTTAATTTGAGCAAATAATTGCTCAAATTAATAGCTAATGTGTAGATGTACGCATGCAGTGCTGTAAATTTGGAGATTTTATTTATCATTGTTAGTATTTTTTATAAATTAGGCAAATGTGCTCATTCTCTAGCAACTTAGTTATAAGAATGAATTGATATCCTAATTCATTTGTATGGAAAATATTTTTTTTTGTCTAGATATATAGTAATTTTGCCATTTAAAAAACGCAATATCACTGAATGCATTTACGTATTATTGAAACCTCTTTGTAGACAACATTGGTAGTAGCAACACAATCTTGTCCATCTTCGTCTAGAGCTAACACCTTCAGTCCATCAGGATGGGCGACTCGGGTGAAAATATATAATAATAGAATATTAGTCAATTAGTGATCATTTTATATTTTCAATCAATTAGTAATATCAAGTTCATTTTCAGCCAATTATTCTTTTTTATTTTTAGTCAATTAGTCAACTAGAATATTAGATGCAGTGATATTTTTACCTAATTTCCGTTCAATTTTTAATTGATAATGTATAATATTTTTATTAGAATATTTCCGTTATATTTTTAATTTACTTTTATATTGTTTAAAATATGCATTTACTAATTTTTAATTTTTGTTCCATCTTTAATTAAAATACAATGATCTGACAATTTTTTTTTTCATTTTAGTCAATTACTCAATTAGAAATATTATTGTTACCAATTAAGCGTTATTAATTTTTTACTAATTAATTAATATCATGGTTGCAAAAATCGGCGCCTAGGCGCTAGGCAGCTGCCGGCCGCCTAGCCGGCTGAACCGGCGCTGAAGGGAAAAGTTCGAGAAGGCATAACTTTTGACTCGGTTGTCCGTTTTGGACAATTTTTTTTCACTAATTTCTCAAAAAATGCTTCTTTTGCTCTTAATTTTAGTTTTTTTTTATGTATTTAGATGGTTTAAACAATATTTTGAACACTTTTACAACCACTTATGTAAATAGTTTGTAAGAAATAACTATGGAAACCTTATGTTTTATTACTAAATTTTGAAAATTTTTAATTTTTAATTTTATTTTTAATAAAAAAATTTAAAAAATAAAAAATAAAAAATAAAAAAATAAATCGGCGCCTAGGCGTTAGGCGCCTAACATTTTTTGCAACATTGATTAATATTCATATTAATTTGGACCGGAATGTTGAAAAGGGGGATTTTACTTTTATTAATAGTACTAGTTTTTTTTACGCGCATTGCGCGATTGGGATAATGCCCAATATTTTTTTTTAAATAAGTACTTTAAAATATATCAATGCAAGATTATATTGGAATTGTTCATGCATAGATAATTGAATGTTAAACTTGCGTATTTAAATAGGTAATTCTAAGTTTACGTGCAAAGATAATATAGTCCATATTAGTTATAATTGTCAATAAAATAATGAGTTAATACCCAAAATCGTCCTCGACTATAGTGGTTTTTCTCAATTTCGTCCTAAACGACTTTGGTGACCTAATATCGTCCCAGACTTTTGTGTTTCGCTCAATTTATTCCTCCATTTGTTATTCCGTCAAATTGGTGTTAAATAAAGGGACAATTCAGTAATGTCAATATTGATCTCTCTTTACTTTCAACTTGTGAAGTGCGAAATTCCTCTTTCTTGTACGAATTACACCCAGAATTACTCCCGGACCTGCAAATCAAATTTTATATTCGCAGTTTTAGGAGTAATTCTGGGAGTAATTCATAAAAAAAAGGGATTTCGCAGTTCACATGTCTATGAGTAAAGAGATGCCAATATTAAAATTACTGAATTGTCTATTTATTTAACACCAAATGGACAGAATAACAAATGAGGGACTAAATTGAGCAAAAACACAAAAGTCTGGGACTAAATTGAGCGAAACACAAAAATTTGAGACGATATTAGGTCACCAAAGTCGTTTAGGACGAAATTGAGAAAAACCACTATAGTCGAGGACGATTTTGGGTATTAACTCATAAAATAATTGTATAGGTATGGTTGAAACCAAATACGGGCAATAAGGGAGAGCAAATAAAAATTAGGGCATAAAATATTAAATATATACTAATATTGAAGAGCTAACTGCTGATTGTCAAACAAGGACATTACGAGATAGTTTCCTACTTCAATTTGTTGTGTGATTTGAATACTCTTTTTGTCAATAAATACCTAAGTAGTTAATATGATTGACTTAATTATATTTTTTTAAAACAATTATTATTATTATTATTATTATTATTATTATTATTATTATTATTAAATATATGTATACCCTTAGGTCATTTTACATGTTAATCTAAACTACTTTTTTCAAATATCTTTTTACCAACTGTTGATATAATTCATAGGTCAAATTCGCTAATATAATCCGCTAACTGCTGATTGTCAAATAAGGACATTGCGAGGTAGTTCTCACTTCAATTTGTTGTGTGATTTGAATACTCTCTTTGTCAACAAATCCTTCAAGTAGTTAATATGATTGGCTTTATTAATTATATTTTTAAAAAATTTTCATGGTATTAATAAAATACTTGGTAAATAAATATATAGCATTATTTTGTACTATAACTTTGATATTTAATTAAAAAATAGTGCACAAAAAAAGATAATAGACAATGTAGTGAATATAATCAATTGATGAATTTGAATGTAAAGAATTTTTACATTGGAGAAATATAAAAACAATATAACTAATAAAATTATTTCTCTTAATTAATTTATTGATAATAAATAATTTTTTTTTAATAAAGACATTATAGGGAAAATGTAGCGAATATAATCAATTGATGAATTTGAATGTAAATAATTTTTATATTGGAGTAAAATAAATACAATATAACTAATGAAATTATTTCTCTTATTTAATTTATTGATAATGAATAATTTTTTTTGAATAAAGACATTGTAGACACATAATTCTAAATTAAAGAAATGCATATGTATTATTTTTTGTTGTAGCTACTAAATTATTATTTAATTTAATAAGAGTAAAATAGAGTACTAATTATGCCAACTTTGATTGGGATGAGGTTCGAACCTAAGACCTTTCTTATTGAAATCAATGAGTAAGTTAACAGTGAACTAACAGAAATTAACGGAAATGATAATATTTAACGGAAAAGTTAACGGATAATCATATTCATTAAGGATAAATTAGGAAATCTTAACGAAAAATTAAAATCTGATCAATCTGAGCCATTCATTTGATTAAAAAATTTGACCGCCATTTTTCTATCCATTATAGGCCTAACTCTCTTGGACTCTTATTAGTATAATATAGATAGTAGATAGATAGATAGATTAATTTCATTTTGAAATCATTAGTTCACATATTTGAATTATTTATTTTTTCATTAATTATTCGCATTGTAAACATAAATGATATTGCAATAACTAATTTATGATATTTATCAAATTGTATCTCTTTAAAAATATAAAATTTTCGCATGTTTATGGGTTAAAAAAATTTTAAAATTATTTTTATTTTTAAAATATTTTCCAGCAACCCAAACACCCCCTTAGTCTCCCATCAAAAACTGATAAAGAAAAATTATTTTATTAAGGAAATTAAAACTAATTAAATTAAATCTAATCATGCTATATTTATTTGTAACTGTATATTAATTTAATTTTGGAATCATTGGTTCACATATTTGAATTATTTATTTTTTTAATTATTCTCATTGTAAACATAAATGATATTACAATAATTAAGTTATGATATTTATCAAATTGTATTTGTTTAAAAATATAAAATTTTCTCATGTTTAGGGGTTAAATAATATTTTAAAATTATTTTTTATTCGTAATTATTTTTATTTTTAAAATATTTTACAGCAACTTAAACACTCCCTTAGTCACTCATAAAAAACTGATAAAGAAAAATCATTTCATTAAGAAAATTAAAATTAATTAAATTAAACCTAATCATGCTATATTTATTTGTAACTGTATATTAATTTCATTTTGAAATCATTGGTTCACATATTTGAATTATTTATTTTTTCTTTAATTATTATAAACAGAAACGATATTGTACTAATTAATTTATGATATTTATCAAATTGTATTTTTAAAAATATAAGATTTACACATGTTATGAGGTGTTAAAAAATATTTTAAAATTATTTTTTATTAGTAAGTATTTTTATTTTAAAAATATTTTCAAGAAACTCACACAATCTCCCATTAAAAAATGATAAAGAAAAGTCATTTCATTTTTTTTTTTTGAAAAATCAATCTGTCGATTGTATTAATTGATGAAAGCTATAATAGTGTCAGGAGGGATAGAATCGCAATACATAGAATGTTCCTGAGTAAAAGCTAACGAAGCTAAAGTATGAGCATGTAAATTAATCTGTCTAGGCACATAGCTTAACGAAATAAAATTAAATAAAGACATCATTGTCTTGCACTGGTCAATTATCAACCCAGCATACGAGTGAATGAGTGTAATTTGGTGATGTATGGTGGATCACAGAACCATACAATCCGTGAGGAGATTGGCCGAATTAATACTCCTTTCAACCAACCAGGAAAAGTCATTTCATTAAGCAAATTAAAACTAATTAAAGTATATCTAATCATGCTATATTTATTTGTAACTGTATATTAATTTCATTTTGAAATTATTGGTTCACATATTTAAATTATTTATTTTTTAATTTAATTATTATTAGTTTTACCCGTACGTTGCACAGAAATGTTTTTTTTTTTATTATGAATATATAAAATTAGAAATAGACAAAAATAAAAAGATGTTAAAATGTACAATATAATAATATAGTTGGACTATTATATA